CATTTTTGAATGCACAGAGCACTAGACCAAACATATATGCCCAAACCACACAGACACACGACACATACAGGTTCATGTTAGAAGCATTCGTCTACAAAGTTTTTGTCTGTGGCTTATGGCATCAGCCTCTTTGCAATCTATTTACATCTTGGATATATACAGCTCACATGCACATTCACACACACCCACCGTTCTCACAACATACAGCATGCACTCAAACACCCATGCCACAAACATACTCATATACACATAAACATACATGCCTCTTCCATGTTCACCGTGCATGAAAGCTCCCCACCACACCAGGCCACTCTCCACGTGTGGACACCCACGTATTTATACTCTCTCCCGCAGGCTCTTGGCAGGCTAAGCCGACATCCACGCAGACCAGCGGAGCCGGGAGTGGTTTCCGCCTCCCTCCGGTCACTGACATGCAGCACCTGTCCTGTCTTTAGTTCCTCACACTCCAGCTTCAACTGGGTTGAATGCCAGAGGCTGCCTGCACAGAACCCAGAGCAGCCGTCCAGAAGCAGCTGTCCTGGGGGAATGAGGCTCCCTGAGCCTGGGAGGGGTGTGTGCCAACCTGGAAGGGCCATCAGGAAAGTGACCCTGGAGTGACCAGGTGCTAGTGACCACCCCACCCCTCAGTGGTGCTCTGGAGCGCCGTGGCCTGAGTCAGCACATGACGCCTCTTTCCAGCCCTCTTTACTCGCGCTCAGAATCCTGGACATTTGGGGGGTTCTAGGCCTTCCCCAAACTAGAAGAATGAGTGGCGCCTGAAAGAGATAGCAGCTCAAAGAACTCAAGTCAGATTCTGGGCTGCTGCCTTTTCCGTTAGCATTTGCTTCTGCATCACTAAAGCCCCGTAATCTAGAACATGCCTGGAACAGTGCATTTCAGCTGAAAAAATATGAAGGTACGTCAGCCTGGAAATAGGACCAACACTGCTTTTTCTCTCAGGGCCGTCTGTACATTACAAGGAGACATGCAAATATGAGGAATTTTTGCTGTTACCGTGACCAGCACCAGGGAGGTAAATCATTTTCTTCTCCGGTTCACATGTTTCTGGCCCAACCCACTCCCCATACCTTGCACTATCTGTCACTAGTCACCATTATTTGAACATCTGTTAAGTCCCAGGTACTATACTAAATACTTTACAAATATCTCATTTAAGCTTCACAACATCCTTGTTTAAGGAATATCACTCTCCCCATTTTATGGTCAGGGATCCGAGGTTCTGAGAATCTGAGTAGCTTATCCAAGATCACACAGCTAACGAACAGCAAAGATAGGATTTGAACTCAGGTGGTTGTTTCTCCAACCCATGCTTTCCCCTCTGCACCAAGCTTACATCTATTATCACCAGCCATAGAATGTAAATTCTGTTCATATATCCATTATCTAAGTCTAAAACTCCCTTCCCATCTATGTTCATCTATCAGTCTTAAACTATAAACCAGATCATAGATGGCAGGAACTGTGTCTATTGAATTCATTTCACAGTGCTCAGCATACTTCCGGGAATATATAGTAGATTACTATCTTTAAAAAGTTACGGTTCTGTGAATTTCAAATTGTGCCTGGAGTTAAGAGACCAAGTTCTAGCTCTGTTTTTATTTATTTATTTTTAAATTTAATTTTATTTATTTTTTTATACAGCAGGTCCTCATTAGTCATCAATTTGATATGCATCAGTGTATACATGTCAATGCCAATCGCTTAATTCAGCATACCACCAACACCACCACCCCCAGCCGCTTTCTCCCCTTGGTGTCCATACGTTTGTTCTCTACATCTGTGTCTCAATTTCTGCCCTGCAAACCGGTTCATCTGCACCATTTTTCTAGGTTCCACATATATGTGTTAATATACATTTGTTTTTCTATTTCTGACTTACTTCACTCTGTATGACAGTCTCTAGATCCATCCATGTCTCAACAAATGACCCAATTTCATTCCTTTTTATGGCTGAGTAATATTCCATTGTATATATGTACCACTTTTCTTTATCCCTTCATCTGTCGATGGGCATTTAGGTTGCTTCCATGACCTTGCTATTGTAAATAGTGCTGCAATGAACATTGGGGTGCGTGTGTCTTTTTGAATTGTGGTTTTCTCTGGGTATATGCCCAGTAGTGGGATTGTTGGATCATATGGTAATTCTATTTTCAGTTTTTTAAGGAACCTCCATACTGTTCTCCATAGTGGCTGTATCAATTTACATTCTCACCACCAACAGGACAAGAGGGTTCCCTTTTCTCCACACCCTCTCCAGCATTTGTTGTTTGTAGATTTTCTGATGAAGCCCATTCTAACTGGTGTGAGGTGATACCTGATTGTAGTTTTGATTTGCATTTCTCTAATAATTAGTGATGTTGAGCAGCTTTTCATGTGTTTCTTGGCCATCTGTATGTCTTCTTTGGAGAAATGTCTATTTAGGTCTTCTGCCCATTTTTGGACTGGGTTGTTTGTTTTTTTTAATATTGAGCTGCATGAGCTGTTTATATATTTTGGAGATTAATCCTTTGTCTGTTGATTCATTTGCAAATATTTTCTCCCATTCTGAGGGTTGTCTTTTCATCTTGTTTATGGTTTCCTTTGCTGTGCAAAAGCTTTTAAGTTTCATTAGGTCCCATTTGTTTATTTTTGTTTTTATTTCCATTACTCTAGGAGGTGGATGAAAAAAATCTTGATGTGATTTATGTCAAAGTGTTCTTTCTATGTTTTCCTCTAAGAGTTTTAGAGTGTCTGGTCTTACATTTAGGTCTCTAATCCATTTTGAGTTTATTTTTGTGTATGGTATTAGGGAGTGTTCTAATGTCATTCTTTTACATGTAGCTGTCCAGTTTTCCCAGCATCACTTATTGAAAAGACTGTTTTTTCTCTTTGTATATCCTTGCCTCCTTTGTCATAGATTAGTTGACCATAGGTGTGTGGGTTTACCTCTGGGCTTTCTATCTTGTTCCAGTACCATATTGTCTTGAATACTGTAGCTTTGTAGTATAGTCTGAAGTCAGGGAGTCTGATTCCTCCAGCTCCATTTTTTTTCCTCAAGACTGCTTTGGCTATTCGGGGTCTTTTTTGTCTCCATACAAATTTTAAGATTTTTTGTTCTAGTTCCATAAAAAATGCCATTGGGAATTTGATAAGGATTGCATTGAATCTGTAGATTGCTTTGGGTAGTATAGTCATTTTCACAATATTGATCCTTCCAATCCAAGAACATGGTATATCTCTCTATCTGTTCGTATCATCTTTAATTTCTGTCATCAGTGTATTATAGTTTTCTGCATACAGGTCTTTTGTCTCCCTAGGTAGGTTTATTCCTAGGTATTTTATTCTTTTTGTTGTAATGGTAAATGGGAGTGTTTCCTAAATTTCTCTTTCAGATTTTTCATCATTAGTGTATAGGAATGTAAGATTTCTGTGCATTAATTTTGTATCCTGCAACTTTACCAAATTCATTGATTAGCTCTAGTTGTTTTCTGGTGGCATCTTTAGGATTCTCTATGTATAGTATCATGTCATCTGCAAACAGTGACAGTTTTACTTCTTCTTTTCCAATTTGTATTCCTTTTACTCCTTTTTCTTCTGATTGCCGTGCCTAGGATTTCCATACTATGTTGAATAATAGTGGTGAGAGTGAACATCCTTGTCTTTTTCCTGATCTTAGAGGAAATGCTTTCAGTTTTTCACCACTGAGAATGATGTTTGCTGTGGGATTGTCATATATGACCTTTACTATGTTGAGGTAGGTTCCATCTATGCCCACTTTCTGGAGAGTTTTTATCATAAATGGGTGTTGAATTTTGTCAAAAGCTTTTTCTGCATCTATTGAGATGAGCATATGGTTTTTATTCTTCAATTTGTTAATACGGTGTATCGTATTGATTGATTTGTGTATATTGAAGAATCCTTGCATCCCTGGGATAACTCCCACTTGATCATGGTGTGTGATCCTTTTCATGTGTTGTTGGATTCTGTTTGCTAGTATTTTGTTGAGGATTTTTGCATCTATATTCATCAGTGATATTGGTCTGTAATTTTCTTTTTTTGTAGTATCTTTCTCTGGTGTTGGTATCAGGGTGATAGTGGCCTCATAGAATGAGTTTGGGAGTGTTCCTTCCTCTGCAATTGTTTGGAAGAGTTTGAGAAGGATGGGTGTTAGCTCTTCTCTAAATGGTTGATAGAATTCACCTGTGAAGCCATCTGGTCCTGGACTTTTGTTTGTTGGAAGATTTTTAATCACAGTTTCAATTTGATTACTTGTGATAGGTCTGTTCATATTTTCTATTTCTTCCTGGTTCAGTTTTGGAAGGTTATACCTTTCTAAGAATTTGTCCATTTCTTCCAGGTTGTCCATTTTATTGGCATAGAGTTGCTTGTACTGGTCTCTTAGGATGCTTTGTATTTCTGCGGTGTCTGTTGTAACTTCTCCTTTTTCATTTCTAATTTTATTGATTTGAGTCCTCTCCATCTTTTCTTGATGAATCTGGCTAATGGTTTATCAATTTTGTTTACCTTCACAAAGAACCAGATTTTAGTTTTATTGATCTTTGCTATTGTTTTCTTTGTTTCTATTTCAGTTATTTCTGCTCTGATCTTTATGATTTCTTTCCTTCTGCTAACTTTGGGTTTTGTTTGTTCTTCTTTCTCTAGTTCCTTTAGGTGTAAGGTTAGATTGTTTATTTGAGATTTTTCTTGTTTCTTGAGGTAGGCTTGTGTAGCTATAAACTTCCGTCTTAGAACTTCTTTTGCTGCATCCCATAGGTTTAGGATCGTCGTGTTTTTATTGTCATTTGTCTCTAGGTATTTTTTGATTTCCTCTTTGATTTCTTCAGTGATCTCTTTGTTATTTAGTAACGTATTGTTTAGCCTCCATGTGTTTGTGTTTTTTACATTTTTTCCCTGTAACTCATTTCTAATCTCATAGCATTGTGGTCAGAAAAGATGCTTGATATGATTTCAATTTTCTTAAAAATACTGTGGCTTCTCGCGGTTGCCCGGGCAGTGCGTGGCTGGAACCACCAGCTGCTTCATCCCATGGCCAGGGGTGGCGTCCAGGTGGCAGAGCACCTAGGAACTCAAGGCCTGAACCCGGGGCCAGACCCCCTGCACTCCCCATCATGGTCAATGGCCCACCAGTACCTGCCTTACTGTGGGCCCAGGAGATGGGCCACGTCCTGGCAGGCCGTGCCCGCAAGCTGCTACTGCAGTTTGGGGTGCTCTTCTGTACCATCCTACTCCTGCTCTGGGTGTCTGTCTTCCTCTATGGCTCCTTCTACTATTCCTACATGCCGACAGTCAGCCACCTCAGCCCCGTGCATTTCTACTACAGGACCGACTGTGATTCCTCCGCCTCCTTACTCTGCTCCTTCCCTGTTGCCAATGTCTCACTGGCTAAGGGTGGACGTGATCGGGTGCTGATGTATGGACAGCCGTACCGCGTTACCTTAGAGCTTGAGCTGCCAGAGTCTCCTGTGAATCAAGATTTGGGCATGTTCTTGGTCACCATTTCATGCTACACCAGAGGCGGCCGAATCATCTCCACCTCTTCACGCTCCGTGATGCTGCATTACCGTTCAAACCTGCTCCAGATGCTTGACACACTGGTCTTCTCTAGCCTCCTGCTGTTTGGCTTTGCAGAGCAGAAGCAGGTCCTGGAGGTGGAGCTGTACCCAGAATACAGGGAGAACTCGTATGTGCCGACCACCGGAGCCGTTATCGAGATCCACAGCAAGTGCGTCCAGCTGTACGGAGCCCACCTCCGCATCCACGCCCACTTCACTGGGCTCAGGTACCTGCTGTACAACTTCCCGATGACCTGCGCTTTCGTTGGTGTCGCCAGCAACTTCACCTTCCTCAGCGTCATCGTGCTCTTCAGCTATGTGCAGTGGGTGTGGCGGGGCATCTGGCCCCGACACCGCCTCTCTCTGCAGGTAAACATCCGAAACAGAGACAGGTCCCACAAGGAAGTCCAGCGGAGGATCTCTGCCCATCAGCCAGGCACAGGGCCCCAAGGCCAGGAGGAGTCCACTCAGCTGTCACCCATTACAGAGGATAGTGAGAGCCGTGCAGATCCCTCGGAGCCAGAAGGCCAGCTGTCTGAGGAGGAGAAACCAGATCAACAGCCCCTGAGTGGCGAGGAGGAGCTAGAGCCCGAGGCCAGTGACGGTTCAGGCTCCTGGGAAGATGCAGCTCTGCTGACGGAGGCCAACCTGCCTGTTTCTGCCCCTGCCCTTGCCCCGGAGACCGTGGGCAGCTCTGAACCCTCCACAGGCACTGTCCGACAGCGCCCCATTTGCTCTAGTTCCTGAAGAGAATAGGGCAGAGTCCCCACACTCCAGCCCTCTCCCCCCCAATCCCTTTCCCTTTCCGGGGCTCCCCCAATAAACTCTTTTCATGCCAGCTGCCTCCCTGACTCTGAACTGGATTCAGGGCCATTTGAAAACGTGATGTTCCCCAGGCATCCCCCACCTCGATTGGAGGAGGTTGTCTTGTCAGGGGCTACCGATGGGGAAGACCTCCAGACCCTGGACTATTTCAGGCACAGCTGTTTCCATTCATCAGCCTAGGACGTCCAAGGAGCGAAAACCTGCCCACTCCATCCATGTGACTCTCATCTCCCTCTGGGGAGGGGGATAGCATAGGGCGGGTCTGGAAAGCTGGGATACATCATTCTGGCCTCTGTACCCCTCCCTTTCTCAGTCCATTGGGAGGCAGAAGACAGGAAATGACTGCCATGGATGTGGTATGATTTTTTACTGAAACAGCATTTTGTAGCCCAGGCCCCATGCTATCCACAGCTGTTTTTCTCTCTGATACCAGCCAGGTGGCCCCGTCCTTTGTGTTCCCCTCCTCACCCCCTCACATGACTTCAGCCTTTGGATTCTCAGCTCCTGGCTGCTTTCCACATTCCACTGCTCTTTCAGAACCCAGGCATCCTGGCCTCCAGCTGAAACCGCTGCATGTAGCTTCCCCCACCCCTGGCCCCGTGACTCAGGCCCTCTGAAGGGACCAGCCCTCTTCTTGGCACTCACTGGGGAGGGGGGCAGGGGAAGGGGGGCCAGGTGGTGACATCACAGTTGAGGGGTATAAAAGCTTTGAGCCAAAACAGAATTGAAATTGAAGACACTGAGAAAACCTGACTGCGCAGCCTGTGCTCCTGGGGACCTCTTAGGACCCCCGGCCTGCTACTCACTGCATCAAGGCCTACCCACCGACCCCATGCCGGGAAATCCCCGCCTTCTGTGGCTCCTGGCTGTCACCTTCTCCTCGGTTCCCAGAGCGCAGCCCTTGGCGGGAGACGCGGAAGAAGAGGAGCAAGATGATACACCTCTGCCGGCTGTCCCCTGCGACTACGACCGCTGCCGCCACCTGCAGGTGCCCTGCCAGGAGCTGCAGAGGGCCGGCCCGACGACGTGCCTGTGCCCTGGCCTCTCCAGCGCCACGCAGCCGCCCGAGCCGCCACGCCTGGGGGAAGTGCGCATGGAGGCCGAGGCGGGCCGCGCCGTGGTGCACTGGTGCGCCCCCTTCTCCCCGGTCCACCAGTACTGGCTGCTGCTTTGGGAAGGCGCCGGGGCCCCGCAGAAGGGCCCCCCCCCTCAACTCGACGGTCCGCCGAGCGGAGCTGAAGGGCCTGAAGCCCGGGGGCGCATACGTCGTCTGCGTGGTGGCCTCCAACGCGGCCGGGGAGAGCAGCGTGCCCGGGGCCGAGGGCCTCGACGACGAGGGCGGCCCCGCCTTCGGGCCCTGCGGCCGGCTGACTGTGCTGCCGAGGCCACTCACCCTGCTGCACGGGGCCGTGGGCGTGGGCTCGGCGCTGGCCCTGCTCAGCTGCTCCGCCCTGGTCTGGCACTTCTGCCTGCGCGAGCGCTGGGGCTGCCCCCGCCGAGGCCACCCGAGCGGCGCGGGACTCTGAGGCCGCCCGGGGGCCTCTCCGGCCAAGCTAAGCCCAGCGCCACTCCGGGGGAGGTGGCGGCCCCCGACAGACGGCGGGATGGAAGGCCGGGCGCTGGGCCCCCACTGAGTCGGTTCAGGCCCCAGACTTTCCACTCTGCCCCGAGCTTAGGTTTAGGAGTAGAGAAGGTCAGCAAATTTTTTCTTAAGGGACCAGAATAATTAGGCTTTGTGGTTCCAAGGGATAAAATCGAAGATATCCTGTAGTTCTTACACAACCATGTAACCATTTAAAAATGTAAACATCATTCTTAGCTCTTGGGCCTTACAAGTCAGTCCCTGGCCAGATTCGGCCCGTTGGCTACGGTTAGTCTACTTCTGTCGTACAGCCTCAAAAGGGCCCTGCCACTATGGGTGGCTTCCGTGGGGTTTTGAGAATAAGCTGCTGCGGTATGGGAGTTTGGGGCTAGAGACCACTCCTTCTCCTTCTGCCTTTTTGTTTAGATAGTGAGGATGCGCACTGAGTTAGAATCTACCTGTGTCTGAGGCGGGTGGAAATAAATGACTGATATGGGGTGGAGAAGAGAAGGACTGCCCAAGCTGCTGTCTGGGACAAGCTTGCGGTTTTGCTAGTAAAATTATAATAATAATAATACAATAATAGCAAAGGAGTCCCCCTCCCGCATTTGTGTTTATTGTATATTCACTGTAACAACATTAAAGGAGATGTAAAAGGAAAAAATAAAAAATACTGTGGCTTGATTTATGACCCAAGATGTGATCTATCCTGGAGAATGTTCCGTGTGCACTTGAGAAGAAAGTGTAATCTGCTGTTTTTGGATGGAATGTCCTATAAATATCAATTAAATCTATCTGGTCTATTCTGTCATTTAAAGCTTCTGTTTCCTTATTTATTTTCATTTTGGATGATCTGTCCATTGGTGTAAGTGAGGTGTTAAAGTCCCCCACTATTATTGTGTTTCTGTCGATTTCCTCTTTCATAGCTGTTAGCAGTTGCCTATGTATTGAGGTGCTCCTATGTTGGGTGCATATATATTTATAATCGCTATATATTCTTCTTGGATCGATCACTTGATCATTATGTAGTGTCCTTCCTTGTCTCTTGTAACATTCTTTATTTTAAAGTCTATTTTATCTGATATGAGTATTGCTACTCCAGCTTTCTTTTGATTTCCATTTGCATGGAATATCTTTTTCCATCCTCTCACTTTCAGTCTGTATGTGTCCCTAGGTCTGAAGTGGGTCTCTTGTAGACAGCATATAGATGGGTCTTGTTTTTATATCCATTCAGCAAGCCTGTGTCTTTTGGTTGGAGCATTTAATCCATTCACGTTTAACGTAATTATTGATATGTATGTTCCTATGACCATTTTCTTAATTGTTTTGGTTTGTTTTTGTAGGTCCTTTTCTTCTCTTGTGTTTCCCACTTAGAGAAGTTCCTTTAGCATTTGTTGTAGAGGTGGTTGGTGGTGCTGAATTCTCTTAGCTTTTGCTTGTCTGTAAAGCTTTTGATTTTTCCATCGAATCTGAATGAGATCCTTGCCAGGGAGAGTAATCTTGGCTGTAGGTTTTCCCTTTCATCACTCTAAGTATATCATGCCACTCCCTTCTGGCTTGTAGAGTTTCTGCTGGGAAATCAGCTGTTAACCCTCTGGGAGTTCCCTTGTATGTTATTTTGTCGTTTTTCCTTTGCTGCTTTCAATAATTTTTCTTTGTCTTTAATTTTTGCCAGTTTGATTACTATGTGTGTTGGCGTGTTTCTCTTTGGGTGTATCCTGTATGGGACTCTCTGTGCTTCCTGGACTTGAGTGGCTATTTCCTTTCCTATGTTAGGGAAGTTTTTGACCATAATCTCTTCAAATATTTTCTCGGGTCCTTTCTCTCTCTCTTCTCCTTCTGGGACCCATATAATGTGAACGTTGTTGCGTTTAATGTTGTCCCAGAGGTCTCTTAGGCTGTCTTCATTTCTTTTCATTCTTTTTTCTTTATTCTATTCCACAGCAGTGAGTTCCACCATTCTGTCTTCCAGGTCACTTATCTGTTCTCCTCCATCAGATATTCTGCTATGGATTCTTTCTAGTGTATGTTTCATTTCAGTTATTGTATTGTTCATCTCTGTTTGTTTGTTCTTTAATTCTTCTAGGTCTTTGTTAAACATGTTTTGCATCTTCTTGATCTTTGCCTCCATTTTTTTTCCGAGGTCCTGGATCATCTTCACTATAATTATTCTTTTTCTGGAAGGTTGCCTATCTCCACTTCATTTAGTTGTTTTTCTGGGGTTTTATCTTGTTCCTTCATCTGGTACATAGCGCCCTGCCTTTTCATCTTGTTTATCTTTCTGTGAATGTGGTTTTTGTTCCACAGGCTGCAGGATTGTAGTTCTTCTTTCTTCTGCTCTGGCCTCTGGTGGATGAGGCTATCTAAGCAGCTTGTGCAGGTTTCCTAATGGGAGGGACTGGTGGTGGGTAGAGTTGGGTGTTGCTTGGTGGGCAGAGCTCAGTAAAACTTTAATCCACTTGACTGCTGGTAGGTGGGGCTGTGTTCCTTCCCTGTTGGTTGTTTGGCCTGAGCCACCCAACACTGGAGCCTACCTGGGCTCTTTGGTGGGGCTAATGGCAGACTCTGGGAGGGCTCACGCCAAGGAGTGCTTCCCAGAACTTCTGCTGCCAGTGTCCTTGTCCCTACAGTGAGCCACAGCCACTGCCTGCCTCTGCAGGAGACCCTCCAACACTAGCAGGTAGGTCTGGTTCAGTCTCCACTGGGTTCACTGCTCCTTCCCCTGGGTCCCAATGCGCACACTACTTTGTGTGTGCCCTCCAAGTGTGGAGTTTCTGTTTCTCCCAGTCCTGTTGAAGTTCTGCAATCAAATCCCACTGGCCTTCAAAGTCTGATTCTCTAGGAATTCCTCCTCCAGTTGCTGGACCCCCAGGTTGGGAACCTGACATGGGGCTCAGAGCCTTCACTCCAGTGGGTGGACTTCTGTGATATAAGTGTTCTCCAATCTGTGAGTCACCTACCCAGCAGTTATGGGATTTGTTTTTACTGTGATTGAGCTCCTCCTACCATCTCATTGTGGCTTCTCCTTTGTCTTTGGATGTGGGGTGTCTTTTTTGGTGAGTTCCAGTGTCTTCCTTTTGATGATTGTCCAGCAGCTAGTTGTTATTCTGCTGTTCTCTCAAGAGGGAGTGACAGCACATCCTTCTACTCCGCCATCTTGGTTCCAAATCCTAGCTCTGTTTTTAGAAAAGAACAAACTTCAGAAAGACCTGGGTTTGAATCCGACGCCATCACTTACTAAGAATGTCTTTCCTCTCTCTGACATCAGTTTCCTCATTTGTAGAACGAAGTACTAGACGTGATGATCTTTTGGGTTCCTTCCAAACATGACTCTCCAAGAGCCTACTGTGTGCATGATGATGATACAGAGTGCAAGTGACGATCTAAAATCGTTTCACGTGCTTAGAGAGCAGACCACTTCCTGAACACCTTCTCTT